AACAAGCGCTTAGTGGGAGGCAACCCACTTGGTATTTTATTTATTGCCCTTTGACCTTTATTTTCTATTTCCATTGTTTTGTTTCTGTTTCATTTAATTTCAGGTTTTCAATAAGGAAAAACAAATACAAAAGACAAGCAGCACTCTCCAGCACGATAAGTACTCTTAAACAAATCAACTTTTTTATTTTCTTTACCATTCTTTCCAAGATTTATCACACTAAGGACAGTGTGAAATAAGTCTGGGGGAGAATGTCCATCCGTTACTAATGAAATTTGATTTGTTTTGAGTCTTTTTTGGACACATAAAATTTTTCAAAAAGTTTTTCAAAACGTTTTACATAAAAATTTTTCCGGCAACTTTTTCATAAAATTTTTCAAAAATTGTTTTCAAATGTATTTTTTTCAAAAAGTTTTCAAACCAGGAACACAATAAACAATACTATGTTGATTTATACCAGTGTGCTTCTACGCTATTTTCTCGTTTTTTGCTCTTTTTGTGATTTAGGCCTAGACTAGGCGGTAGCTAGAATACTTGTATTACGAACTCCCACCAGAGGACTTCTATTCATGGAGATTCTTTCTGACAGGATATACTAGCTCATTTTATCTGGACTTAATTTTGACTTAATTTTCTCATTAAAGCATTAGATCAGGGATACAAATCATACATTCAGGAATCCTTTATCCATTTTACCACTCTTTGTTGATCCTGAATGATTAGTTCATCTTTAGCTAGTTCGCCACCGAACCTAACCTCTTTCAAACCACATGCAGTCTTGTTTTTCATTTTTCTATATGTAGATATGTGCAAAAACGTCGGAGAGAAAGAGGATCAACGCGGTTTTCAGTCACTGAAGATGAAGACCTCCGATTTCATTGGAACAATTCAACTAAAGGAGAAAACTCAGTTTGCCTAGGAAAAACTTCAAAATCTTGGTACAATTTCGTCCCTTAGACTCTCTCTCTCTATAAAATGTTGTTTCCTCTTTCCAAAAAAAAACGGAGAAAAAAAATATATATATATATATATGGGAAAGGAAATTTAAAACTTTAGAGAGTTTAAAAGGATCAAATTTTATCCTTGAGGCAAGCTAGAGTCCGATGATATGGAGTTTTGGAGATTATCTTTCTGATTCCTGGAAAAGAACTAAGTCTGGGGGAACAGCTGTTTACAACAAAGGAGAAAGACTATGCAACAACATTTAGCAAAGGAGAAGTGACTGAAAATTAGCGATCACCAACAGGTCCTTCTCTCTCTTGCGGTTTTGCATAATATCTTGCATCCTCCAGATTCTTCAGGTAACCCTAAACACCTAAGCTCCACCACTTAAACAGCCTTTAATACCAAACGCCGTCTACCCTGAATAATGTCTTTGATGAGAATTCACTACTACACTTAATGAATGTAGAGAGCTAGTTGACTGGAAGTTAGATCTAAGTGTGTAGATTTTCGCATGACGGATTAACTGACTAGTTTTCTTGTATTTTGGTGAGAATCTTCTAGACTAGATCCAAATAGATGTTTCACGATAAGTTATGGTTTAGAAGGACGTCACTGAGATATTGTTTAGTTCCTGCGGGTTATTAAAATTTTTCCTGACTTGATCTATGTTTGTTTGAGGACAAACAAAAAGGTAAGTGTGGGGAGTTGATAACACCGTATTTTGACCACTTTTATGGATCATAAATATGTCTTATGCAGATGTTTTAACTCTGTTTTCAATGGTTTTTAAAGGTTTTTCAATTTTTTAGAGTTTCAAAAGACTTTTCAGGAAACTTGGGCAAAAGATATGCAATTTGGAACAAATGAGCAATTTTGGATAAATGCAGACCGTCAGAAGTATGACACGCGATGAATACCTTCTCACTGTCTGATCACCCCCAAAATTTGTGACAACATATAGGATACAACCAGCTTTCTAATGCACTTGGTTTGGAGACAATCCAATGGTTAGATCTTCAGATACACCTGATGCAATAAAGACAGAAAATGTAGTCTCGGAAGACGACACAAGCCGGGACCACGGCCAAGCCTCATTTCCCCGTGGGTAGAAGCACCGCGACTGCGGCCATTAGTCGTTCACTTCTCAGCCGACCTAATTAAAGCCCAAATTGATTCTTTTTGTTATTTTTGAAGCCCTAAGTGTCCAAGACCACTCCAGAAGCTATAAATACGCTCTTTAGGTCATTCTAAAAGGGGAGACAAAGAGAGACCGAAATATAGACAAACCTAGAGAGAGAGAGAGAGGGATTTCGTGTGGAACCCTAGAGAGGAGGCCGCCGTCTTAAGGAGAAGGAGCCGCCGCAGGAGTGCATCATCGCGCCTCCACCGTCGCCTCCACCGTCGCCTCCGTTCTTCGTTTTTCTTCCCTGTATTCTTTAATTTCCTGCAACTTTCAATACTCTATGATGCTTTGTTACAATATGTTTGAGTAGTTTCCCAGTTGGGTTTAAAGAGATTTTTCAAAAGGAAATTTGTGTGTCTTTGCTTATGAATTGATAGATTTAGGATTTATAATCTTCTAGATGTTCTTTGTTTGCCTTTAATCTTACTGCGTGATTCTTTGCTGGCCACTTAGAAGCCGATCTGATATGATATGTTGCGAAAGCTTTCATTGATTGTCTGAACTAGGGTGAAACGAGCAATTATTCTATAGGAGTGGAAACCTACCTGTAGTTGAGTTGTGAATGTTGATGAGACTTAATCTGCTATTGCATCTTCACCCTTCCAGGATCAGAGTGGAAACCTACTGATCCGGGTTGTGAGAGATAGTTGTTTAGTGCTGCGAAAGTAAGCTATTCATACTTCTGTGCCTCAAGTTCTAGAACATACATAGTTGATTACCTTTATCACTTGTTCTGCGAAACCCCTTGAGCTCTGTTTTTAATCGTTTACAACCTTCTTATCAGCTTTACATTCGATTTTTACTTGCTTGCACTTTCTTTCGTTTTTTAATTGCTTTTACTTGTTTATCTTTCTAGTTTAGATTTCGTGACAACCAAAACCCAAAACCAAAACCTAAATTGTTTAGTTCTAGTCTGATTTGAGCATTGCCGTGAATTCGTACTGAAACAACTAAGTCTCTGTGGATCGATACCCTAAGTATTACAGCGCACATCTATGCACTTGCAGATATTTAGGGGTTATAAATTTAAAACTTAAATCTTAGTAAAACCGACCAACCCCGTTTAGAATCGCATCACCCGGGCCAAACTAGGTTTCACTTTGGGCCTCTGGCCATGGCCAAATGACCTAGGCTTTTAGCACCTGGCCTTGCATCCTAAAGATCCAAGAGATCCAACACGAAATATCACCTGTTCTTGGGCTCTTCTTACCTGACAATATATGTCATACTGCCAGGAACAAAGAGAGTAGGAACTGAGTGGTCAGGAGGAATGAGGAAGGTTACCTCTTCCTATGTCTCGACCAAATCTCAATGATCTGGAGAAGTCGGGTTCTAATCTGCACATGTACCTGGAGACAAGAAGCCAATCAACAAGAGCTCCCTGATAGCAGGATCCCTGGTATCGAGGGATCTAGGCCAGGTATGAATATCGTTTGAGTGGGAATACTATTCAAATTTCTCCCATTTGACAATTAGAATATGTGTATGTCCAAATCAATACCCATATCTCTGAGAACCCACAAATCAACATTTAATGCTCAATGCTTATATGTATCAGGTGATAGTGATAACTCGCAGAGCTCAAGGAAATTACAGTAGATGGATAAGACCATACCCCATCTAAACCATCAGACTCGGACCGTACATTAAGGATGAAAGGGACACTCCAAGGCGTGGCCTTGCAGCAGAAGGATAATGCCAAGGAAAGTAAGTGAGGAAGTTAGACGGAGATAGACGCATGACGTACTCAAAATATTCAGCCTTAAACCAAGGTAGCTCCATAAGTGATCCACCCACCCAACAATCTGGAACTCAGTCCAGTATACTAATCTGGGCCAGGTAAAATCTGATAAATATCCTATCTTTTCCAATGAGAAAGGGGATTCGATCATTTTCAGCTCTCCTACTTATGATATCTCTCTAGATACATTTGAGCAAGACAACCTAAATCAAACTATTTTTTAAGATTAAAAAAAAAAATTTAACCTAAATCATGTGTTTCCTATACTCAGTGTAATATTTCACTAGAATAAAAATTACGCAGCTACTAATTTTCTTTAGCGTTTAGGCTATTATTATTTTATGAGTGTCACCTAGTTTTCATATGAGAGATTTTGGTTTTTGTTGCTTGTTTTGAATTTAATTTGAAACTGCCTTTTTGTTTTGTTTTTGGTTTTAGATCGTGGAGAAAGATAGCCAAACTGAGATCATAGCTAACGATCAGAACCAAAAAATAGTATTGGGAGACGTGTTTGTTTTGGTTTAATTTGATAATACTAATATTCAAATTGCCGTATGTTTGAGACCTATATGTTTCTTTGGTGTTGTTTGTTTGTGTCTTCTCATCGATCTCTCTGAGTATAGGTTAAACAAGGTATGCTTTTGATTTTTCTAATTATCTCATGATCGTGATTCTTCCCACTGATTCGTTTAAAATGTGTTAGTGTTAGTTTCTCTTCGATTTGTTATTTTCAGAATAGAAAACTAAAGGCGAGAGTTAGAGAAAGGAAGAAGTCGATTGTGTCTTCTTATTGAATGTTGTGTTGCGGCAATTTCTGATGTCTTTATAAAACATGATAGGATTGAAGAGGAAAGTTTTTTGATTTATGGGTTTTGCACTTCTTCTCACTTTTGTGGAAAAAGTTTGAATCTTTTTTTTTTGTGGTAGTATCAGCACCGAGTAGCCGGTTTATAGATGGGAGGAACAAAATGGAGAAAATTGTACTTGACTAGTGCAACATATTGGCACTGACGCTCCTTTGTTTTCTCTCTAGGGCACTGTTCAATAGCAGAACTTCCGAGAAAATGCATATTGGCCAATAGAAATTCAGATATTGGTATTATGGATTTTAGTGGTATTGGGAGGAAACGGAGCATGATGATGAGACTATTTTTTGCCTTCAAATTAATGTAGATATATTATATATACCTTCAAATTTCTCTGAATTGCTCTGCTTTCACTTTTAAATCTGACATCAAACTGCTTTTTTTTTTGCTATGTTTTTAGGCATGTGGTATAGAGATAATTCTCATTGAATTCGGCTTTTTTTTTTTCCTATTCGGCTTTTCTATACTATTGAGTTTTGAATTCGTTGGAGTTAGGGAGTATAGAAACATATATGTGTCTTATTCAACAAAAAGCAGATTTGTATTTTTAAGTAAACTTAGCTTTGCAACTAAGAACATCATAGGATGTTAACTGATTTAATGTTTCAGACTTACACGAGCATGGTGCTATATGCAATTTCTTTTCCATGAGTTTTTTTTCATGCCATATTAAGCAATTCTGCTTTGATATGGCTAAACTTTTTGAGAACATTTTGTTTGTGTGTGAATTCTGTGTCTATGGATTTTCTAGACGGGTAAATTTCTTTCTTCTTTATCGTGTTGGTATTGGGTCTGTTTTTGGTTTAAAATCGTATCACATGTCTGATCTTGGTTTAATCAAATGAAATGGATCGAATATGAATGTATGAAATACATGAGTGTGAAGCTAGTAAATCATATCACAATTATCATGTTCCAATTATCGAAATGAACATGCTTAAACATACATATGAAAAATTTAACCATATCTTTTTGGTTTCGAAGTGCAACTACAATTTATGTTTGTGGTAAAATTTATACTTACTTAAACATACAAATTTTATAATTATAAAAATGCTCCTTTTTTTTTAACTTCAAGAATGTTTATTTACTGCTTGATTCACATGATACACAAGTTACAGGGAGTAGACAAATTTCTTTTGCAATTGTAAAAGGAGTAATCAAAGATAGAATTATGGATTAGATTTTCATTTAAAATTTCATAAATAATTTATACATCAAAAAGTATAGATAACTGTTTTAACTAACAATAATCAACTTCAATTGATATTTGTTTATGGTGAGAGAATGCATTAATAAATAGATCACAAAGATTGTCTATGTACGAATATTGATTTTAAAATTTCCTTTTCGATTATAGCTCCACTCAAATTTTTTGTTTGGTATAAATAAATTTTAAAAATTAATAATAAAATAAAAATAATATGTTATATAAAAGTATTTGCAAATTTTTCACATCCTACATATTAAGTGTTTGTAGCCGACACATGGAGTACATTACAAAAAAACAATCGTTTTCCAGAGGTCTGTTACGACGCGCAAATATACAACAATTTTACGACGATTTTATGAGGAAAAAAATAAAACGTCGTAAAACCATCGTAAAAATCGTAAAAAATAATCGTCGTAACTTCGACATATAATTTACGACGCTTTACGACGATTATACATCAATAAAGAGAGATTTGATATTTATTGCAAAATCGTTGTAAATTGGATGTAACGTTACAACGAATATACGACGATCAAAATCCGAAGTACAGTTACGATGATTTTACGTCGACAAAGAAGGTAGATGAAGAACATTTAAAATAGGTTCACCTAACTAATGTCGATGAAATATTTTATCGCACAATCGACGTAAAATCGTCGTAATATGAAGGTTGGATGTAAAAGCGATGTAAAAAATCGTCATAAAAGCGTCGTAAAGTCCGAAATTTTGTTATAAATACATCTTCATTTCTTCTTTCATTCACAACACATCATCATTCAAACATAGGAGCATCAGCATCCTGGAGACCCATTTTAGGTCTCTTAAACCTTATTATAGTGTTAATTGTAAACCCAAATATATTGGGTTGTCCTTTGCTGGAAACCCGAATTAGTAGTAATTTCTTTGAAAAAAGAAGTAATAATATTAAAAGGTTTCTCCATTCACGCGGCTTCACATGACACAAGAGACCGTCTCTTATATTGTCTAAACAATAGAGATAGATAGTTTTTTTGAGTTATACGAGTTAAAAAGCTGAATGTATATGCGTAAAGATTCAGATGGGGCGTTGACAAAAGAATTCAAGAACGGGTTAGAAATATTCATGTATCAGGCCACAAATATGGAGAGAACGAAAGAAAGCGGGAAGATGTTTTGTCCTTGTTTGAAATGCAAGAATATAAGGTATACACTAACCAAAACCGTGTGGATGCATTTATTAAATAGAGAGTTTATGCCGCAATATTTTGTTTGGTATCTACATGGAGAAGGATATGGCAATAATACTCATGGGAAGCTGGTAGTAGTAGTAATTATCAAAGTCATGTTGATTTTGATGAATCAAATTATGGTCATCAGCCTAATCAGTATCAATCTGATCAAAGTCTAGATCATGATAGGATGCATGAGATGGTGACTGATGCATTTCATGAAACGCATACTGGTAATGCTGTTGAGGAACCTAATGTAGATGCCAAATGATTTTATGATTTGTTGGACAATGCTAATCAGCCAATCTACGAAAGATGTAGAGAAGGTCTGTCTAAATTATCGTTGGCAGCTAGGATGATGTCAATTAAAACAGATCATAACCTGGCTGAGGTTTGCATGGATGATTGGGCTGATCTTCTGAAAGAGTATCTACCGGAGGATAACTTGGCAGCGGCAACATACTATGAAATACAGAAGTTGATTTTTAGTCATGGTCTACCTTCTGAGATGATAGATGTATGTGTTGACAATTGTATGATTTTCTGGATAGATGATGATCAGCTGGAGGAATGTCGATTTTGCCAAAAACCAAGATACAGGCCGTAAACTGGTGGCCGTAAAATGATACCATACCAACATATGTGGTATCTCCCTATAACTGATAGGTTGAAATGGCTTTATCAATCTGAAAGGACAGCTGCATCAATGAGATGGCATGCAGAACATACACAACTAGATAGAGAAGTTGTTCATCCATCAGATGCAAAGGCATGGAAACACTTCAATACGGTATACCCAGATTTTTTTAAGTTCAAACGGAATGTCTATCTTGGTCTGTGTACTGATGGTTTTAGTCCATTTGGTATGTCTGGTAGACAATATTCATTATGGCCAGTAATCCTAACCCCTTATAACATTCCTCCAGATATGTGCATGTAAAGGAAATTTTTTTTCCTTGTATTTTGGTTCCAGGTCCTAATCATCCGAAGCGAGCTCTCGATGTATTTCTGCAGCCACTCATACATGAGTTGAATCAGTTATGGTATACCGGCGTTCGCACATATGACTGTTCAACGGGAAAAAATTTTACTCTGCGGGATGTGCTTATGTGGATAATAAGCGATTTCCCCGCTTATAGTATGCTATCAGGATGGACTACACATGAGAGGTTATCTTGTCCTTATTGTCTTGATTGAACTGATACGTTTCAGCTAAAACATTGTAGAAAAACCTGTTGGTTTGATTGGCACCGCAGGTTTTTACCGGATAACCATCCATATCGAAGGAACAAGAGGTTATTTAGGAAGAACAAAAGTGTACATGACCCTTTACCCGTAAATTTAACAGGAGCTGATATACATGCGCAAATCGAGCATTGGGGGCAGAGGAAACAGTAATGCATGGAGGAAACTAGCACACTCCTGCAAATATGTCAGAAGGTTATGAAGTTCATCATAATTGGCACACGAAAAGTATCTTTTGGCAAATACCCTATTGGAAAGATCATATGCTCAGACACAATTTTGATGTCATGCACATTGAGAAAACCTTTTTTGCTAACATCATGCATATAGTTATGAACGTAACGCGAAGAACAAAAGACAATGGTGAGTCAAGATTGGACTTGCCTAATTTATGCAACATGAGTGAGTTGCATATATTGAGAAACGGGAAAGCACCGGTTCCTGTATTTCGGTTGAGTGCAAATCAGAAATCAGCATTGTTCAAATGGGTTTCATCTGACGTTAAGTTTCCTGATGAGTATGTTTCTCATTTTTCTAAATCTGTGAGAAGGGGGTAAAGTTTGCAGGGATGAAAAGTCATGACTGCCACGTGTTTATGCAATCATTATTTTCATTTGCATTTGCTGAACTCTTGCCCAAAAATGTCCATTAAGCTGTTGGAGGCATTGGTGCTTTTTTTCTGGGATCTTAGTACACGAACATTATCAGCTGATGTAATAGCACAACTGGCATCGAATATTCCAATCTTGTTGTGCAATTTGGAAAAGATTTTTCCGCCATCATTTTTTGATGTTATGGAATATCTTCATGTTCATCTCCCTCATGAAGCAGAGCTCGGTGGACCGGTTCAGTACAGGTAAATGTATCCGTTCGAGCGTTTCATGAAGCATCTTAAGGGTAAAGCCAAAAACCTAGCTAAAGTGGAAGGTTCAATTGTGGCGGAAAGCTTGATGCAAGAGACTTTGCACTTTACTTCGTACTATTTTGCACCAAAAGTACGAACACGCAAAAAAGCTACTCGTCGATATGATGATGGAGGAGTTGGCCATACATATACAGTTGAGGGTGTACCACAAGCCTGCACCGCCTCCACGACCGATAACGCTGTCGGTCGGAACGTTTCCGACATCATCAAAGGGTTCTTTGTACAACCCCATACCAGCTGGAAGAAGTTGGATCAAGCAACTATTGACACTTGGTTCAAGTTTTTCGCGATAAGTTATTTAAAATTATGATTTATATTATTATTTTTTATTTTTTACAATAATTACTAACTCTTTTTTTGTAGCAAAACTAGCATTGGAAAACTTTCGCACACGAACGTGTGAAGACGGCCTACAAAGAGAAGGTCAAGTTCTGGCTCAACAACACCGTTTCCGAATGGAAGCAGAAGTAGGAGGTTGACGGCAACAAGGCCAAGCCGGCGCCAATGGCCGATACCGTCTGGGAGGGTCTAGTGCACCATTGGTTGACCCCGCACAACCAGACTATTGCCGCCAAGTGTTCGACATCCAGGTTTGTTTGTAAATTAAACTAAATTGTGTTTAATTTATAATATTAAATTTTTAATTACAAATCTAATTAATAAATTTTTCATTTTCAGGAACGCTACTGACGATGCGGGAAATCCAAAGAACATCCCGCACACTTCCGGCCAGGTTCGTTTCGCCGAGAGACG